ACGTGCTGGAAGAAGCCGTCGACCTTGGCGAAGGAACGCTTCGGAAGTAGGAGAGGACGCGCCTCGGCCCCGACCCCTGGCCGTCGGTCCTCGGGGTCGCGGGAGACTTCTCGCTGGATGTGTATCTCTCGGAGGTCTGCCGGGTCCGTTCCCCTCTTCGGGGAGAACGGCGAAGGGCAGGCACCCTTTATGTCCTGAAAAGAGGAAAAGTACTGAGGATATGTTCTCCATACACCTACATTTGCCCAGATTTCCCGATTTACCGGCTGGTGGCGACAGGTTATTATTTATAAAGAAAAATGAATGTATCCTTAAAAATGCACATAAGCACATAAAAGAGGTGCACCCTTCACCTTAGCGCAGTTGGCTGTTGACCGGAGCAGTGCGTCGTGTCCCGTGAAAGTGCTGTTTCCGGGGCCACACCTGACGCTGTGGACGCAGATGTTCTTTCTCCCCGCATGACAACCGCTGGAGTCGTGTACATCTGTGAGAGTAAAACAGACAAGGATAAAATGAATAAGCCAGGCAGGAGAGATGCAATACTATCACACAAATATATATATATATATATATATATATATATATATATATAAACATATATATATATATATATATATATATATATATATATAAACATATATATATATATATATATATATATATATATATATATATATATATATATTATACACACACGCACATGTATGTATATATACATATACGCATATAAATATATACATAGACACACACGGACACACACACATATAAATATATATATTGTTGCCGCTTAGGTAAGGCCCACCTGTGCGTCTCGATGCCTGGAGGAGGATTTTGACGCCTCCGTCGAGCCAGCGAAGATACGACTTGGCTGTTACAAACGTCCTGAGGAAATAAGTGCACCATTATCGGGTTAAGTCGCTGGTAACATGGCCAATAAAACAGACACATACTGAATGTAAAACCGAGGAGGAAAGAAAACAGGAAAGGGAAAAGGGGAAATTTAGGAATGAGACTATAGAACTGATATAAAAAATAATATTAACAACCACTTTTTTTCAATATTATATTCAGGTAATGAATAAATCAAAACTATCGAAATGAAAATGTAGCAGTGGAAGTTAAACTAATTATCAAATTAACAACTAACTAATTTCTCAAAAGTAGAATATGCCTCATGAGAATCCCTTACCTTCACACGAGACAAACACACACACACACACACGAGAGGCAAAATCTCCTTAGTCTGATGTTGATTTCGACCTAGGCACGGCGGAGGCTACCGTGTTCAATATAGGAAATTTATATCTAATTCTAATACATTTCGCAATTCATGGCAAGGTTTATATAAATACTTATATAGATCTTGAAATCCACAGATCCTGCCCAAATCCTATCCAATTCGGCCCAACAATCTTATTATAGGCCTATGTTAGGAGCACTATGACCCCTGTGACATTTCCACAAATTGTATGCCTATCGTGAGAGGAGAAACAAAATTTCTTGCTACTGTTGATAAATTCTTAATACCACCTCACTATATTGCAAACTGGTACAACCAAACCTAGCTTGTTATAATCTGCCAACACTTGCGCTATATATCTAGGCACGTGTTTCAAAGAACGTGTTAAATCGCAGATGGCTGAAATTATTCTAACAGCTAAATTGAAGGGGAAACGAGAGAGAGGAAGAAAGAAATAGAGGAAGAAAGATTAACAGAAAGGGAGATAGAATAAGAAAGGAGAGAGGAGGAAAGAATAATATCAACATTCAACCAAAAAGGAGAAAGAAAGGAGAGAGGAGGAAAGGATGATGATATCAGTATCAGCAAAAAAGATTAATAATAACAGACGAACAAGTGATGAACAACGATCGATAAATAACCCAAAGAATTTAGCAGAACAATAACACCACAGACGTTCATTCCTTTCCTTTGTACTCTACGAACAATACACATTCTCTCTTCGGAACAGAGAGAGAGAGAGAGAGAGAGAGAGAGAGAGAGAGAGAGAGAGAGAGAGAGAGAGAGAGAGAGAGAGAGAGAGAGAGAGAGAGAGAGAGGACGAAGACGAAAGGAAGAGAGAGAGAAGATGAAAACAGAAGATAACGAAGAAGAAATTGGCTGAGAACACGTTGTCCTTTTGGGAGGCTAATGATGGGGATGGCCGAGAATCAAGTGATTTAATGAGTCGAATCAATTGGAATTCGAAGCATTGAAGACAGGTGGGGCGTGTGTGTGCTAGTGTGTGAGTGTGAGTGTGTGTGTGTTAGTGTGTGAGTGTGTGTGTGTTAGTGTGTGTGTTAGTGTGTGTTAATGTGTGAGTGTGTGTGTGTTAGTGTGTGCGTGTGTTAGTATGTGAGTGTGTGTTAGTGTGTGAGTGTGTGTTAGTGTGTGTGTTAGTGTTAGTGTGTGTGTGTGTGTGTGTGTGTGTGTGTGTGTGTGTGTGTGTGTGTGTGTGTGTAAGTGTATGGGTGTGTGTGTGTAATTGTGTGAGTGAGTGAG